AAACCCTAGCCCCGAAGATCCTAAACCGATTATTGTACGGTCAGAGACTCCCTGGCGCCTCGAGGTTTTTCTAGGATTTCGCACCCGGGGCTCGAGTTGCTCAGGCCACTATACCTATAGTAATTACCACACCCTGGTGCTCATGTGGTTGAGGGGGGAGGGGCGTTCAGGCTTCATCACGAGCAGCATCGCCAGAAACCCCGGCCGAAAACCTCTGAATGCCAAATGGACGCCGTCTTAGAACTCGGTTATCAAATTCTGGGCCAACAGCTGTGCCCCCCCCCCCCCCCCCCTTCGCCCCGCCTCCCCACTCACACGCAAAACACACAGGCGCGCACACACTACCTCGCACTAGCAAACATGTGCACCTAAACCTCAACCCTGCCAACCCTGACCTCTGAACCCGAAAAATAAAAATCCGAAACCTAAGCGCTAGTTACTAAGCCCTAAACACTGCAAGACTAAACACGAACCCTATAAGAACATTCAAAAACCCAAAGGGTCTTAGGCACTGTTATGGGGGATACTTTCCCAAATCATAATAACAATTCCGATTATAGCAACGCTACATTCTGCTATGTGGATATTTTGGACCTTTTGGGAAACACACAAGACTTAGCTTTGCACCGCGGTAGTTTCGTGCCTAGGGTCGGCCAGGCAGTAGCGTGAGTTCGTCGTATATTCTAGCGACCTGTGGTGCAGTGTCAGGGCCCCGTTGTTCTTGGGGTTTGGGTTTTGTGTTTTTCTTTGCACGACCCTTTTCCCCTCGCCGAGTGGTTTTGGGTTTAGGGTTTAGGGTTTCGGGGTTTGTCTAGGACATTTTCAGGTGGGTAGTGACCGTTCTAGGAGCCTTATAGAAGGTCTATATACCTTATGGGCTCAGGGTAGAAGAAAAGCAGTAAACGTAAAAGCCTCAACCTTGCAAGCATGTAGGCGTGTTGCCTCCGTTGTTGTTGGAGCAGTGTCTAGGGTTCGGGGTTTAGGATCGAGGACGCGGGACTTCATTCAGGGATGAAGCTCACAACCCGGTACAGTACGTAATAGAAGTAGGCATTTAGGTTGCCGACTTCATCATTTTGGAAGAGACCTAGAGCTGGGTGAGAGAAAGCGGACATGAGCCATCAAGTCGTTTGGGCTCGATTCCTGCAACATCCTCTCTGTTCTGGACCCGAACAATCGGCTAATACACAAAGTACCGACTCTGCCCTATTCGCGGGGTGAGAGGAGCCTGAATTCTGACATTTTGCTTCAGCAACGGCTGAGGCTTGGCTTTCCATGTGTTCCTTGGCTTTCGTTTTCCAGAGTCACTGCGCCCTTAGCCTCCACAACGGTGCAGTAGAGTCTGAGAGTTGTTGGCAAACCCTAAACCCTAAACCCTGTCCAAAGAACCCCTCTGATCACCCCTCGATTAAGGAATAGACCCTAAAAGCATAACAGGAAGACTCGTCTGATCCGCAGAAATCTCCGTTGGTCCCTGGACAAGACCTCTACGTCGGCTTCTCATTATAAAATGTGGTCTAAGCCAAGAACTGAAGCGGAAGCATTTTTTGGTCTCTTTTGTGCCTGAGAGAGAAATCCGCTCAACGGAAATCTCCCAACCCCAAATGACGGGAGTGTTTAGGGGTTCCCGAAGGAATTAGCCAATGTACTCCTTGCATGCAGGAAACCTACGAGCACTATCTCAGCACACCCAAGTACATGGAGAGTTTGTTTTGGGGGGCCGCTGCGCTTGGTCCCAACCCTGAAGCAGCTTCAACTTAAACCCACAAGTCTAAACCGGGATCGCCGTTCCCAGCATGCAGGTGACCAGTGAGAGCCTGTAGTGCTGATGCCCATATGACTCGATCTTGAAGACCTGCACCGCAACGGTGCCGGAAATTAGGTCTGTTACTGCTCTTACCGGCGAACCCGATGGGCTGAAACTCGCGAGGTATACCCGCAAACCCTGGACCCCGTATTCTGCGATATTCATAGAGGACAAGTATGAACTCCTACATCATGCAACGGAGGAACGACAGAAGCTCGGTTTAGAAGAGACAACAGAGTGTTGTTGCTTACGAGATATATACGGGAGATTACATAATGTAGGGGCCTGAATGATTAATGAGAAGAGGGTTTTGGGGGTTCTTTACTATGATTATAGTATAATATACCCCCCCATACCCTATTCTAATTATTCAGGCCCCATATTAAGTGAACTGTAGGACTCCCCCAATCTGGGAGCTAGGATTAGGGGGACCCTTGACCCTCTCAATAAGGTCCCTTTTAAGAGAGCCAAAGCTAGGGTTGAGAAGGGGTACCCTTTAAGGGGCACCCCTAATAATGCTACCTACAATCTTCGACGATGGTTCGAACCCTTAGTCCGATGCGCTCCGTTGCAGCAAACCGCTGTTTGGTCTCAGTATGACAGGAGTACAGTTTAGGGTTTAGGGTTTAGGGTTCAGGGTTTAGGCTTTAGGGTTTAGGGTTTAGGGGTTTAGGGTTTAGGGTTTTAGGGTTCAGGGTTTAGGGTTTAGGGGTAGTTTAGGGTTTAGGGTTTAGGGTTTTGGGTTTGGGTTTTTAGGGATTGCGCGCCGAGTGAAATTTTGCACTGCGGCTCCTATAGACAGCATCCTTTATGGACCTGAAGACTGCAAAGTATCGAGGAAGTCAGACTTCAGGATATTTACAAAAGCTTGAACCGATGAGCCCTAACTAGACTAAAATCCGAAACGCTGTTCTTAGCCATAAACCCTGGGTGCAGAAGCCGTTTTTCCTCAAGGGGCTTTGTATTAAGATCCCCTTGCCCTCCTTATCAAGATAGGTGGGTTCATTGATCGGGGGTCTGGAGTAAGCCTCAGCCCTACATAGGTTCTAAGGCCAAACACGACGGGTCCAAGCGTCCTATATTGCGGATGTGAGGGTCGCCACCATAAAGGCCCCGAGCCACTTTTAAGGACCTTTGGACAGCCCATCAACCGCCTTGTCGTCTTCTACAGGGGTAGCTTTCTAAACTGAGCTCCCTTTTAGGGTCCTTTTACAAGGGTGCCGTACAATTTTGGGGACCTAAACAATTTGGACCCTACCTAAACCCTAAACCCGAAACCCTAAATTTCAGAACTGCCCACAGGTCTCCCTTAGAGTTGAACAGTTTGAGGGCAGGCTTGCTACAGGGGCCTTATATTTATTAGAATTGGGTTTTTGGGTGTAGAAAACTCTAGACTCGAATCACCTTGTGGAACCTTTTAAAAACCTTAAGGCCTTGAAGGAACATGAGGTCAACGGTTCCGATCCATGTATTATGCGCTTTTTTCAGGGCCGCTGAACTGTTCCGCTTCGCTCCGCCTGGACCACGCGCAAGTCTCGGAAGAGCACCACTTCCTTCCAGACTTTTCCCCGCACCTTTGAACAAGCAGTTCAGGGGTTTCGGGTCTTAAGGTTTAGAAGGAAATTTGTGTTCAAGGCTTAGAACTAATGAGGGGGTGTCTAGGCTTGAGAAGAAGAAGGTTGAGGTTTCGACTGAGGCGCGAAGTCCAGATACTGCCTCGGCTTTGACTCAGCGAAAGATAGGTTCAAAGCTCCGCGCGCGATGTGCAGAAAATACCCTGATGGTCGTTCGAGCTAGGGCCTAGGCGACTCAACATGGGGAATTGCAACTGAAGAGCCATTCCACAAGCTTCAACCCGAAGCCCTGAGCCCTAAACCCCAAACCCTAAACCCCAAGCCCGAAACCCCAAGCCCTAAAC